TAGCACATGCTATAATGAGCATGAAGACAGCAGCTTTGGAAATAATTGCAAACTCTGATAAGACTTTCTCTTTTTACAAGCTAAATATTTCACTTTGCTTGCCACATATGGAGCAATGTCTCCAACAAGACTTAAGATTGAGAGATGAATAAGATTCAGAGATGAATGAGATTCAGAGATATATGTACAGATGGTGATCTTCCAGACAGCTTGGCCTTAAGCCATTTAGAATTTTAAAATATTAAACTCACAACACTGTGAAATGAGCCTGGAAATTAGGCTAGGAATCACTATAACTAATTGGAAGATGAAGTTCCAATAATTGTCTTGTGCTTTATTTTGAACCAATTATAATTTTCAAATATTCTTTAAAAGTCAATCTCATGTACTAGATTCTTAAAGATTTCCAAAGCGAGAGTGACAGACCAGCAATTTTCATGTTGATCTGGTTGCAGCTGAAATATCAGTTGAAATTAATAAAAGATTATTTGGGCCATAGTAGTTTTAGAATCTGAATTTACAGTATGATAAAAACTCCCCAAAACTCCCCATGATATTAAGAGGAAGTTTAAAACTTTCCAGAAACTTGAATATTGTTCAGCCAATTGAGTAATCACCCAACTATATATCCATTTTATTTGAATTAAATATCGTATTTGTTCATCCTTCTCCCATCCATTACCATTTCCAAGCATTGACTTCCACTGCCCTAATTGTATCTGCTAGGCAAAAAGAAAAAGAATTTGATATCAGTTCTTTTGGATATCAATATTTTTATTTCTACATATACACCCATCTTTTCTCCCTTCTTTCCTCCTTTCCTCTCTTCCTCCCACTCTTAAAGACTGAATGTCATATTTAAAGCTCTACATGGCTAGGACTGGATTCTCTATATGACTGCTTCAGGTCAACTGCCTCTGAATCTCACCTACATAAGAATCTTGGTGGGATTCTGAAAGCTGGCATTCTTTATTGCCATGTTTTGAAATTCCATTCCCATGGCGATTTAGTCCGTTCCTTCACTCCAGGCTTTCCAGAAAGCAGCTAAAATTTGTCAGTTCCAGGTAACAGAGGAGGAGGGCATACTGTGATGAAGGTCTGAAACTAAGAGGTGCATGACTTTGTCTGCTATTGATAGTTTGGATATTGCCATTAATTCAGTTTACATTACATTTGGGTTTCTTTATTATTTTTCAGAGTTGTATTTTTTGTTTTTGATTGTCAGCTACTCAGATTCTTTAAGAACAGAGGCATACAAATAAAATAAGACAATCAATCACTCAATGGTATTAGCAATAATTCCATGCACCACTTCCTGGAAATGGCCCATCAGAGCAGAGCTGAGCCCCTGATCTTACCACTAGTGTTTCCTCACACCCAACTCAGTATATACCTAGAAGAATATGAGGAGTGATAACATAAAATAGTGCCAAGAAATCCAGGAATCCATTTTTCTTAAAATCATTTGGGAAAACACAACACTTGCCTCTTGTTTCAAGCACACTTTCATAGAGTCTGAGTCTCCTCAATTTCTCAAGAATGCCATACACCCTTCTGAACTTAGCAAACTATTCCATCCCAACTAAATTAACAAATGAAACAAATGTTTGAGCACACAAAGGCTCTGGCACAAACAACTAAAATTCAGCCAACAGAAAGGTACTATCTTACAAAAATATGTATATTCACACAAACAAAAAATTCTTAAAATAACCCATTTTTCAAAAACACTATTTTTTCAAGGATGCAGTGCAAAATTAACTGTCTTAATTACCTATTATCTCATATTCATATTAATTCTATATTTTTCATAATTATTGATATCTCTGAGAATAACTAAAAAGCTGTGCTGTAAACTTCATTATATTGGTAATGAAAAAGGATGGAGGATATTTATATGTAATAAATGGTTGTCCCAATATCATTTTTAATTTATGATATCAGCTAAAAATGGGTTTAAAGATGTTAATATGTGCTAGAATATATATATCAAAATTTGGCATTTATCAATACATGAAAGTCTATGGGTTTATCAAATATGGGATACAGTCAATTATTACATTATGATGGAAAAATAGCCTGGAGGAATGTGTGTTCTTTCTCCTTATACATTGGCTTGCTATCAATATAATATAAAGGCTTAATATTTAATCAAAACAATTTTGTCTTTAAAAATAAGTTTAATGTTTCACCCCTCCCTTTTCTCTCATATGTTTTGAGTATTTCTGTTAAGAATTATTCATGTAGAATAGAATAGAATAATGTAATTTCAACCTGTTTCATGACATGCTAAAATAAATATTAGCACAATCAACTCTATATGTAATATATTAATTATTTTGCTGCTCCCATTTTTGGAATAACAAAAGTAGCTTTGGAAACATTGCTTCAATCATTGTTCATGGATTAAAGAATACTGTCCTTCTGATAAATAAAGTTTTTTATTCACTACAGTTCAATAACTGGTTAGTTTATAAAACTCTTGATTTAAAACATTCGCTACTTACAACTATTTTTGTTTGGCACAGAACACTACATATATATAATTTCTAAAATGTTGCTTTGGAACCAACATTTACCAATAATCATTGAATGATTCCTAAAATCCCTTGCCATTTATCATGCTGCCTGTGGTTGATAAAAGTGTAGATCTAGAGGGCAAAGTTTGTGTTTCCTAACCTAGCAGTAAACAAACAACAGAGTCCTATTGATTTGTTATTACACTATATGCTTTATTTAGGGATTTTCTTACTGGACTTATTCAGGTTATTTTTAACACCTCCTTTTCTCTTTCCTTTTTCAAATGGAAGACAATGACCCATTTGCAGCCTAAAAAGTCCATTTAATCTAGTGCTATTATTTGAATTCCAAAAGCAATATTGTAACTAAAACATCTACACGTTTTAAATAACCCTGGGGATTGGCCAATGATTACAACTTATCTCAGATAATATTAATCAAGGCAATATTAATTAAAGTGCTGCTTAAGTTTGATAAACTCTTATTGAATTTTCAATATGTTTGCATAAATGTGACCCAAAATGTAATATGTTGTTGATCCAAGCGCTAAAACCAGATAAAAAGAACCCAGTTAAACAAATTACTCAAAAACTTTATATTTGTGACCCTTGATAAAGTTGATAAACCATGCTTTTATGAAACTGTAAACAAGAAATGGATATTTAATGTGATGGGATTTATAATACAAATAGATCTGATTGGTAGCTTATTCCATAAAGAAGAGATATTAAATCAGAAAATTGATTTGGATATTTTTTCCTTTTGAATATACAAAATTTTTTGCTAAGAGACAAATGTGTCAAAGTCCCAAATAATTTTTACTTTGAAACACAGATAAACAATAAATTACCTCTGGAACTTTTTCTGAAGAAATCAAATAATATTTTTAAAAAATCAAAGATTTATGAGATTTCTTCAATTAGGCTTAAAAAAAGAAAATAGTTATATTCTGGTTGTCCTTACTGGACTTTTATGGATAAAGTTTCTGATTGACAGAGCATTTGGACTATGTTTTCTTTATTTAAGAAATGAACTATTAGATGACGACAGATTATGAAGAAAATAGTTATATCTGGTTTCCCTTACTGAACTTTTGCTGATAAAGATTAATTAACATAGCATTTTGCCTTGCTTTTCCTTAACTAAGAGATGAGCTATGGAGAGAAGAGAAATTATGTTTTATTTAGAGATGGTGATAAACTATTAAAATTGTTTTTACCTGCTGTGATGAAGAGAGAAACTATTTTATTCTTTACATGTGTAATGCGCAATACATATGTTGGAAAAAAATTATACTTGTTCATTTACTCATTCAGGAAAATGGTCCTCAAATAGTAGAATTTTTACTTCCTTAATTTTGAAGCTTTCTAAATATTAGAATGCTTATATTTTGAAATGATTATGAATCAACTATGTATTAAGGTTTATAACATTACAATAAAAGGGGGTGAGGGAGAGCCAGTTTGGTGTAAGAAACTGTGAGTTTTAGTCCTCCCTTTGTCATGAAAGACAGCTAGATGACTTCAGGCCAATCCCACTTCACAGAACTGTTACTGTAAGGAAAAATAAAACAGAAGAGTATTATACTATATACTTTTGCTACCTTGAGCGATAAAGGATTATAAATCTAATAATCATTGTTGACAAATGGATTGCTCCTTCCTTTGTCCTCTGAATTATTCTGAAAACTGGCACCCTCCAGGAATTTATAGCAATAGCAATAGCATTTAGGATTATATATCACCCCATAGAGCTTTACAGTATTCTTTGGGTGGTTTACAATGCCAGCATATTGCCCTCAACAATCTGGATCCCCATTTTACCAATCTCAGAAGAATGGAAGGCTGAGACAACCTTGAGCCCTGCCAGGATCAAACTCCAGACTGCGGCAGAGTTTGGCTGCAATACCACACTTTATCCATTGTGCCACTGGGGTCCTTTTATTTATGAGCATAATTGGCTTAATTTCTTAGTATAGTGTACTTAACACTACCAATTATTTCAAAATTAGAAATATCTTGTACCATCATATATATTAAATATGATATGCTAATTATACAGAAATCAATTAACGGGAAAGAAATGAATATTCATCTCAGAAACCAATCCACTGGCAAATCTGTAGTCCTGCAGATATTGTTAAAATATATCCTCCTGTGGTTATTTGGTTGTTTTTGGTGCCTTTAAGTTAGTGTTTATCCTGGCAACAAGTCCCTCCAGTTTTCTTTGCAATATTTTTCAGAAATGGATTGCCATTGCCTTCTTCCTAGGACTAAGACAGAGAGAGGATTGGCCTAAGGTTGCTCAGCTGGCTTTGTGCGTAAGGTGCAACTAGAACTCATGGTCTCCGGTGTAGCCTGATGCTTTAATAACTGCACAAAATTGGGTCTCTATCATGCATTAAACTATTTTATTGGTCAAAATAACAAAAACACAGAAAGCTATATTTTTTGTTCATTAAAAAGCACTTTGATACATACTTTGGGATAATCCAATTCAAAGAAGGTTTCCAAGTTGTTAATAAGGTTAGGATCAACACCCTTTAAAGGCTTCAAAAGTGAAACACCTGGAAGCTTGCTATATGGTTGTTTATCTGTTGCTTTCTTGTTGAGTTGTAGGTGCCTAAAAGAAAAAAGTGCCATTTAAGAAATGCAAGAGTAAAATGATAATTAAACTTTAAACACTCCTACACAAATATTCATGTTTGCCTTGCCACAGTTTCATTGCTGGGAAAAAATGCAGTAGCAACTTTTAAGCATACAAATCTACTCTAACTAAGATACAAAAAAAATTAAAGGAAACCTCATGCAAAAATATGTAATAATGCTGTGTCAAAACATTGATACTTTCACATAATTTCATATTCCTGATTGCACATGTCCCGAAGATGAAAGGGAGAAATAGATGAATAGATCAAATATTTTTATTTTATTCTAGCAGTCTATATTTGAGAGACACGTACCAATACCAACACTTCTAATCTCCTGCCTCAGAAATTAACATACTGTAATTCAAATAGACAAAAAATAGATAATAACTCCTTTATTTACTCCATCATCCCAAGAAAAATCCCTCATTGTCATATTTCACCCAAAATAAATCCAAACAAGGAATTTTCTGTTACAGAACAATAGTTTAGGATATTCTACTGGCAAATCTACTCAATTCATGTTAATCATTAAACTCTACCCTACCCTCTTCTTCAGAGTAGTAGTTTAGTACCAAGAATGTGTAGAACACTTGAAAACAAACAATTTCAAAGTTGAAATACTTCATTTTTAATATGAACAAATTATGAGTTTTTCAAAATACCTTGAAATAACTGTCTCCAGCTCAAAACACTTCCAAAACGCTAAAAAAAAGTCTTATATTCCCTCAAGGAAATTATTTTGCACTCAGAACTGAGGTGTTTTAAATTTAATTAGAATGAAAAATATATTAAACATCTCTATTTAGCACTACCTGCAAATATGAACAATGGATACAAGAGTACCACAAAGAATAGCCCACACTTATTTATACTGGTGTTCAATTTTTGTCAAAAATATAGATTTATGCATGTGTATGTAATTTTATATTAATGTTACAATATTACAGGTGCTTATAATATAGACATGCATGATTGAGGCATAGTTCCCAGCTATTATTGATTGGTTCCCCAAAATATAAGCAGGATTGTATATAATTAGTATTTGAATAGGAGGCCACCAGAAAATGCAGAACTATAGTCTAGACTGGGAAGGTGAAATCAATCTTGGAAGAAGACAGTGAAAACTTTTTCAATTTTCTGCCAAGGAAATTACATAGAGCAGGTGTTAAGCTCAACTGGAAGAGACCTGTATTTTTTATTTCTATATAAATCACATGTACATGGTAAAAGAACAATTATTGAGAATACCAGAATGAACTTGGACACATTTTAGCAAACATCACAAATTGCACTATGTACGTACTTTAGATGGGAAAGACCATTGGCTTACCTGAATGATCGTTCTCTAGGCACTGAGGAGTGTCCAAGCACGGGTTAACTTCAGCTTGCTGCCCAAGGAACTGAGTTTTAAAATTGATTGTAGCTTCGCCTCTTGGTTGCCTCAGAGGCTCAGTTTCAAAAAACGAAGATCAAATAGTCCACAACTCGAACCAGTCTAAGTCCAAGTCCAAGACATAAGGTGACAAAAAAACACACCTCACGGCCCCACCTCAAGGGTGGGTTTGGACACTCCGCAGCGCCTAGAGAACGACCATTCAGGTAAGCCAACANAAAATATTTTCTTGTTTTTGCTTAATCTATCAAAAATCCAAAGTCTCATCCTCTGCCACATTTCCCTTCTGCAGACTTGAGTTTCTGTCAGGATTTAATAGCTGCCAGCTGATGAAAGGTTGTAAGCTGTAATCAGCAAGGCTGGTACAATAAGGCTGATTCATTGCAGTTACGGCTTAACCCTTTTAAGACTCTGATGGTGGGGTCCACACAAGTCATTTACTGTTTTAAGAGGAGTCTATATATGGGTGGTGATTAGAGAGGAGTTTCTCTCTCAACGTGCATTCCATTCTCTCCTTGTGTCTGTAGTGAATGGTAAGGGAATTTATCTCCTGCGTAGTTGTATATAAACCACTGTTAATATTCTTAAGGCTCTATGTGCTGTGTTATTGCTCCTGGGTTTATCACATAGTACTAGTCATTCTGCCAAACCTCTGACAGATTCCATATCTAGTGTAGCCTTAATTTGGGGAAGGGTTGTTAATACAAACCTAAAATTTAATAAAACCAAGCAAAACAACAATCAGTTAATTTACTTTTTTTAAATGCAACAGCCCTGGACCTTTCTGGGTATTAGGTGCTCACTGGGATGGATTCTACTCAGCTTGCCACTTGCCAAGTTAGTTCTATGTGTGTACCTAGTAAATTGTTCATCAGAAACTAGACATGGCTTTAAGGCCCTACAGTTGATTGATAATGGTAATTAAGGAGTGGCCAAAAAATAGCATAGAAATGAGGAACTTGTGACCTTCCTGCTGCAGTTGAAATTTAATTTTAAAGCTTCTGCTCAACTGCCCATACACATTAAGATAAAAGACATCCAGCAAATCAACATCTGGATGATCATCTGCTTGTCCGTCTTCAAAATGCATCAGATGCTATTCAAACTACTCTACTGATATTAAGAAAACGTCATTTGCTACCGCTAGTAACATAAGATCCAGTTATCAGCCCAACTATTTTCTGTACATAAACAGAGTCCTATCTTACATCTGCCTGAACCAGCAAATTATCTTTGGCCAGCCAAGATAGTATACAGGTAGTCCTTAACTTACAGCAGTTCCTTTAGTGACAATTTGAAGTTACAGTGGCACTGAAAAAAGTGACATGACCATTTTTCAGACTTACCTCCATTGTGGCATTCCCATGGTCACAGATCTCCATTCGGATGCTTGACACTTGACTCACATTTATGATGGTTGCAATGTCCTGGGATTCTCTTTTGTGACCTTCCGACAAGCAGTAAAGAAAAGAGATTCCCTTAACAACCAAGTTACTAATTTAATACCTGTGGTGATTCACTCAACAAATGTGGCAAGAAAAGTCATAAAATGGGGCAAAGATCACTCAACAAATGTCTCACTTAGCAACATGGGCTCCATTGTGATCGTACGTTGAGGACTACCTGTACAGGGAAGAAGTCCAGAAGGTATCTGCATGGTGCTCAAGAAACAACTTACATCTAAATACTAGTAAGACAAAGGAGATGGTGCTAGATTNCTTTGCCTTGGACTCTGATTTAATTTTGGATGTTTTTTGGAACCCTGACACAGAGGTTAACTAGGCCCCATTATTGGACACCAGTGTTTCTGGGCACCCATGGGTTGCAAATAGTTTCCACAATGCCCTAATGAGAGTCTCGGAAGTGTTTGATGGCATAAGGACAACCTCCACCCATTTAGAATATGCATCAACCACTACCAGGAACATCTGCCTATGAAATGGGCCTGCAAAATCCACACGGATTCTAGACCATGGGTCTTGGGAGTCTCCCATTTCCTTGGGGTTGTGATGTGGGGTGCCGGTCTGGACTGCTGGCAGTTCTGACAACCAACCATCCACTTAGCAATATCCTGATTGCGACCAAGCCACCAAACATAACTTCTCCCCAGGGCCTTCATCCTGATTATGCCAGGGTGCCCCTCATGCAAACAATTAAGAATAGGTTCCTGGCTTGGGGGGGAACTATCACCCTATGTCCCCACAGTAAACACCCTCCTTGCACGGACAGCTCATGCTGTCTTTGCTTGTAAGGCAGGAACTGCAAAGGAACCAGTGCTTGCTGCCACTCCTGACCTAGTCAAAAAACCCGAGTCAGTATAGTGTCCTGGGCAGAGTAGATGGCAATGTCAGTTGCCCATAAGGTCTTCCACTAACATAACAGTAGGACCAGGATCTAGGTCAAACCCTTCAGCTGGTAGAGGGCAGCGGTTTAGGGCGTTCGCATGCCCTACCTGCTTCCCAGGCTGATGGACAAGCTTATAATTGTAAGATGCCATAAATACGGTCTAGTGAGACATGCACGGTGAAAAGATGGGGTGTTTGTTTATCGCCAGCCAAAAGCCCAAACAAAGGCTTATGGTCGTTATCAACTCAAAGAAGCGACCGTAAAGGTAGTTGTGGAATCACTTAATTCCAGCTACCGTGGCCAACACGTCTTTGTCTAATTGACTATAATTCATTTCTGGGGCAGAGAGGGTCCTAGAAAAATAAGACAAAGGTGCCATACTGAGCCATAAGACCCATTGGGGAGCTTATTGCTCCGTATGGCACCCACCCAAAAAGGTGAAGCATCGCAAGTCAGTGTTAGAGGAAGGTGTTCACTGTACTGAACGAGGACAGCATTGGAGGTCAAAAGCTCCTTGACAGCCACAAAAGTAGCCGCTTCCATGCCACCCTATTTTAAAACAGGAACCTATGAAGTGGCTCTGCCACAGAGGCTTTATGGGGCAAAAAATGGTGTAGAAATTTAAAAGCCCCAGAAAGGTTTGTAATTGGGCTTTATTGGTAGGAACAGGCACCTGCATAATAGCTGCTAGCTTAGAAGGGATTGGATGTATGCCTTTGGCATCAAACAGGTAACTCAAGAATTCCACTTTGGTTACCCCAATTTGGCATTTGGAGGGTTTAAGTTTAAGACCTACCCATCCACTCACAATTTTGTGAGGAGGTCAGTGCTGTCCTTAGTGGAAATTAGCATGTCATTGAAGTAAGGGATGACTCCAGTAATGCCATGGAGCAAACACTCCCTAAGGCTCTGGAATATTCCTGGGGCGACACTCACGCCAAACTGGAGCTGCCGGCATTTAAAAGCTCCCCTATGAGTGACGATAGTCTGCGCTTCAGCAATAGCATCATCCACAGGGAACTGCTGATATGCCTGAGCAAGATCCAGTTTGACGAAAATGGAACCCCAGCCCAATGTATGGAGCAATTCCTGCACTACAGGAACAGGGTATGGGTTAGTTTGGAGACCCTATTTATCATGCATTTGTAATCAGCACACAATCGGATGGAGCCAACAGATTTTAAAGGGATCACAATAGGGGTCTCCCATTTAGAGTAATCTACTGGCTCTAAG